TCATTTTATGGATACAACTATATCAACATTAATAGAAAGATAAAATGGAATTTTTTGATCTCTCCTATATACAGAGTGAGTCACTAGAAACTACCTTCTAACAATAAGATATTTTCATAAATATTGATTTTACACAAAAACGTTTAAGACAAAAGGTAAATAATTTTAAAAAGGCTATATTTTAGTCATTTTAATTTATTTTTAGCTAGAGACGCCAAAAAAATTTTGAAGGTTATCTCAAATTTTTTAAATGGAAAATTCTATTTTTAATCAAATATAATTGTAGAGGATGAAAGGATGAAACCAACGACCTGTAACATTTTGACCGTAAGGTGACCTTGAAATGAAAAAAAAATCTAGGAAAACAGAAGAAGTAATAGGTAATAAAAGTAATAATTTTTTAAACAAAATAAATTAATTTTATTAATAAGGTGTTATCTATTAAAATCGTTCGACATTGATAATACATTACTTCTTGTCTTTGGGAGTTGTTGGTACATCTTGATATACTATTTGTTCATTTTAATGAAATCCCATTGACACATTCAATTCCTTTATGTTTATCAACATTGTGTTTATTAACCCCGAAGACATGAAACAACGTTTTACCAATGCAACGATTCCAAAAGATACGTTGCAAAGAGTTCGCGCATCTATAGATCTTTAGAACATATTTAAAAATGTCATGAAATGAATGGGCAACATTTTCAGCATCTTATTAAATAAAATTTATTTTGTTTGAAAAATTATTACTGTTATTACTTATCTAGGGAGTAATAACTCCTCTTGTTTTTCTAGATTTTTTCTTTTCAAGGTCACCTCATGATCAAAGTGTTATAAGTCGCTGGATTCGTCTTTTCATCTTCTACAATTATTAAGCATTAGTTGATTAAAAGTAGGGCTTTCCATTTAAAAAATTTGGCATAATCTCCAAAACTTTTTGGTGCTTCTACTTAAGAATAATTTAAAATAATTAAAATGTAGCTCTTTTAAAATTATTTAACTTTTGTTTGAAACGTTTTTGTGTAAAATCAATATTTATGAAGATATCTTAGAAGGCAGTTTCTAGTGGCTCACGTTGTATATAAATACTAGTTTTAGATTTTAGAACGCAATATATATCAAATGTAGATTAATATACACAATTTAAATAAACATATAATATAAATATGTAATTAACATTGAAATAAATTTAAAGGTTTGCTATGTGGCAAAATATTTATTCAAATAAAAATTAAAATAAGGTGAAAATTACGGTAAAAATTAGATATAATTAAATTAAGATGAAAATAAAAGAGAAAGATGCAAACATTTCATAGAATATTACAATAAACAGAAAAGAATATTGTATAATAATTGTTTAAATAAATATATGAGTAATATATGTGTGATTATCACAAAGTTTATATACACATATATAAATATATAAATATATAAATATATATATATATATAAATATATATATATATATATATACATATATATATATAAGTAGAATTTATATATATATTTATGTCTTGTTTTGCAAATCTAAATATAATGTTAATTATATTTATAATGTTAATCGTATTCATTGTGGTCACGTATGAGAGATATGCATATTGGAGATGTAGAAAGTATGTATAGTTATACACACTACATAAACCCCACTCTCTGAACCCCAGTCACCGACTTGGGACTACATAATGTTCAGTTAGTCAGCGAGAGTCCAAGACAGCCGTTTCGAACTCGTGATCTCGCTTGCACAACCTGTTTGTAAAATAAAATGCAATGCGTGACTGTAAGTTTTTAAGTTATTAAAAATAAAGACTTGTTGTAATGGATATCATCTGTTATAACAGAATCTTTAATACAATCATGTGTTGTAGTGTATCGATATGGATTATAAAACTTTATTTTTAACGCATCAGAATCAAGATTCACCTCTGGATATTTTTAAATACGTAAGTAATATGAAATTATATAATAGCAAATAACACAACAATCAATACCACAAATACATCTTAATAGTTAATATTATATATTAATTTAACATTGTATATTAAAAATATATGCATAAAGTTATGATAGTATGAAAAAATCACTAATTGTTGATATAACATTTATACTAAATTTATAGCGATGTTAGATATTGATTATATAATTATAATAATTTTATTAAGTTCTTGCATTGTATTTATTACATCAGACATCAGAAGAAAGAGAAGGGGGACCATGTTGCCGTATTCTATTTCACGTAGAATATAGCTATAATCACTTCTCATCATCCTTTTCTTCATAAGCCTACGGTTACGTTAATTAATTATATAGCGATGCGAAAGAGACAGACAGATGCAAATTAATTAACGGAAGCATCAGTATTCATGGAAAGTCATATAATTAGCATCACCGAGTCGGAACCGTTGCGGTACGGTGCGCAACTTACGGAAATTTTTCCAATGCTTTTTTGCATCAATATCTTTCATGCCGCGTGTATATTATTTTAAAGATTTGAAAGAAAAAGGTAAAAAGAGGAAAAGAAAAAAAAGTTGAATAATGATAAAGATCTTATCTTATTGATAAGATTGTTGTAACAGATGGAAAGAGATATCATTAAATATTTGCAATAAAATACACAAATTGCGTATAACTTTTCCTTTGAGAGTAAGTTTCAGAAAAAAACGAACGATACGTTATAGTATTTTGTTTCAGCATTTTCATTCATTCGGCTAAAGGCTAAAGCATCGCGAAAAGCATTATACACAGTTGGAAACTTTGTTTCTTGTTAAAAAATATGTCGGTTAAAATTTTTGTGTTAAATATTTAACACATTCATGTGTTAATTTAATATATTGCTCTTATGTTAATTGAACTCAAATGTTAAATTATTAAAACAATTGAAAAAAATGTAAGAATAACACAACATGCATATATTTTTTATTTTACACAATAGATATGTTCCGTATTATTAGTAACAGAATTTATCTGTTAAAATTTACAGAAAAAATTTTGATTTAAATTTACAATAGGGGAATGAGAGTGACTACAGACCGTAAATAACATTTTTCCAAGTTAATTTTATTATTAAAAATATATTGATTTTACACAAAATTGATTTCAAATTACTTTAAGATTTGCATTCATTTTGTGTTAAAATATTAATATAGTATTAGTGTCACCATTTAACATATCCATATTATGTTAAATTAACACAAAAATTGAGTGAACTATTTGGGACACATGATATCTGTTAAATTTAACACAAATTTTTCAGCTATGTACAAACGCGCACATTGCTTCCTTCGAGATCCCACATTGAATCACGGCACATCTAAATACCTAATACTTACAATTAGTAATCGTAATTTGGTTGAATATGGTAAAAATAATATTCCGTCTTAATAAAAAAATATTTATCGGAATTTGGGCGTGAATATAGCGTGAAGATGAAAAGTTCTCTTTATAAAGATTTTGTAACTTTTATATAAATTGGCATCTCAAAGTATCAAGTGGAGTTATAAAAAAATCGAAATGAACAAAATGATTACAAAAATTATAATCGTATTGTATGATTGTACAATTTTTTGTGTTTTTCTTGTTCCACTTAATTCGTATCAATCATGATGAAGTTTTATACATATACGTTTGAAGTAAGAAAAGTATTATTATGACTATTACAAGGTCGATCCGACTGATATAAGAAAGTGTTTTATAACTGCCGCTTATGGAAATATGTATGATCAATTTAATTATGTGAGTTTACGCTTACATATATATACAGGGTAAGTCATTTTAATCAATACACGCAAATATCTCGTAAAGTAAGCAAGATGAAAAAAAATGTTTTATACAAAAGTTGTATGATTCAGAGGAAGACACATGATGAAAATATGGATTTGACCTTGAATGACCTTTTCAAGGCCAAATCAATGTGATCAATGTTTTTTTTTAAATGGAAACTCCCATTTTTTATTGCATATTCTTGTAGCTTATCTCGAGAGCTTTTCAAAACACTATAATAAAGTATTTTTTTATTAAGTACTTTTTGAGTTATTTTATATTTTAATCTGACATATTTTGATATAAAAAAGAAAATATCTCGTAAAATATTTAGTTTCCGATAATCTTACCGTAACACTTTTATGTACAGAATAATGAGACAAATCAATTAAATAATTCAGAATTATTGGTCAATTACACTGAGTTCGGTTTCGAACATTCCGCCCTCCTCGTAGTTGAAGCCTACGAAAGTTATTCGTGCTTGCGGCCCTAGTTTAGCGCGTCAGCGCGTGCTGACTATACTCAGCTGTTTCGGCGCTAGATCACGTGGCGTGAGCGTGGTGTTGAGTCAGGCGATCGGTCGGCGGGGCGTGGTGTGTTGCTATGGAATTCGCATTCCATTCACGTTTTCGCCTGTTTAGATGTGAATCGATGGCGAATGGTTCGCGATTCTTTCTGTGCGGTGTCCGGTTGTTCTGTTTAGTGTGTGAGTGTAACTGTGAGGTGGAGTGAGTCGTGTCTAGTGTAAGTGTATGGTGACGTAAAGTGTGTATTGTTTAGTAGTCGTCTTCCGGTGCCGCGCTGACCGGGAGGAGAACGAGCTTAGTTAAGGGTCGCTTAAAGCTGGATGTGGCGGTGCGCACAATAACGACCCGGACGACCCCGTCCTCCCCAGGGTGCACGCGTTCGATCCTGGCGAGGGGCCACTTATTCGGCGGCGTCGTCTCGCACTTTAGGAGGCACAACCTTCCCCGTCGGCTTGGCACCATTTAGGCCGGTGCATCCCATGGGGCTTCCATGGCGAGGGACGGCTCCGGGACGGCGTTGAGTGCTGTGCCGACAAGGAAGTGACCGGGCGTAAGCGCCTCGAGATCCTCGGGATCGTCCGAGAAGCCCTGTAACGGGCGCGAGTTGAGGCACGATTCAATTTGGGCTAACAAGGTGGCCATCTCTTCGAACGTCAGTTTGGCGTCGCCGATGACGCGCCGGAGGTGGTGCTTCGCCGCCTTGATGGCAGCCTCTCAGAGTCCACCGAAATTGGGTGCTGCCGGAGGGTTGAAGTGCCATTCAATCCTTTCGGCAGCAAGCCCTTCCGCGATGCGCTGGCCTTCCTGACCGCTGGCTGCGAAGAGCGCTCGCAGTTGGGCGTCGGCGCCCACGAAATTGGTGCCGCAATCGCTATAGAGGGCTCGACATAGCCCACGGCGCAGCGCGGCCAGGAAGGCGTCGGAGGAATAGTCCGAGGCGACATCGAGGTGGACGGCGCGGGTGCTGAGGCAGACGAAGACCACCAGGAAGGCCTTTGTAGCGCGCTGTCCTCGTCCCTTGGAGGTTCTTAGCCACATTGGTCCCGCGTATTCGACACCTGTATGGAGGAAGGGCCGAGCTGGTGTCACTCGATTCCGCGGCAGGTCCCCCATGAGTGGCTGCGGGGGTGCCGCCCGCCATCGCAAGCACGTTAAGCAGCGGTGTAGGCAGCGCTTGACGAGTGCCCGTCCGCGGGGAATCCAGTACTCCTGGCGTATGGAGCCAAGGGTCAGCTGCACGCCCCCGTGCAGGGTCCGGCGATGGCACGCCTCGATGACGAGTCGAGTAAATGTTGACCCTCCTGGCAAGATGATTGGGTGCCTGGCGTCAAAGGAGAGAAGAGCGCGCTTGATTCGACCGCCGACTCTGAGGATGCCCTGGGGGTCTCTGAAAGGGGTTAATCGGGTAAGTGTACTGCGTGTAGGTATTGGTTTGCCCTTCGTGATGGCTGCTAACTCCTCCTTGTAGTTGGCAGCTTGGACGACTCGGATCCAACTCAGGCGCGCTTCCTCGACTTCGCGGGTCCCAAGGACGAGCCGGACCGCAGGATTGGCCCGTACATCGGGCGCTCGCTTCTCCTGATGACGACGAAGCCAGCGGCGACACCAGGCCGAGATTCGTAGCAACCGATGGAGCGTGGAGTACCGGCTTAGTATAATCGGCTCCTCGGTGGCCTCTTTGCCAATGGTCGCAGCGTGCACTAGCGTGCGTCGTTCTGGGAGCTCGTTGTCGCTGTTCTCGTCATCGGAGATCGCCCAGCGGTCCGTCTCAGCTCGCAGCCAGGGAGGTCCGTGCCACCAGAGGGGGTGATCGACCAGTTCTTTTGGAGACAGCCCCCGTGAAGCACAATCCGCAGGGTTGTCTCGACCAGGGATGCGATGCCACCGGGCGTCTGGCAAGGATGTCTGGATCTCCGACACTCGGTTGGCCACGTACGTCTTTCAAGAAGTCGGGTGTCCACGGATCCATCCTAGAGCTACGGTAGAGTCCGACCAGAGGTGAAGGGGCACCTCCGTTGCTTCCAGGACGTGACGGATGTGACTGATGAGCCGAGCGAGCAGCGTTGCTGCACAAAGTTCTAAACGTGGTAGAGTTATCTGCTTTAGCGGCGCTACCTTGGTTTTCGCGGTAACTAGCGCGACCTCTACACGTCCTTCCCGATCCTCTGTCCGCAGATAAGCGACTGCGGCGTAGGCTCTTTCAGATGCGTCGGCGAAGCCATGGATTTCCCTCCGGCAGCCAGTTCCGCTATTCAGCCAGCGGGGAACGCGGATGCTCTCCAACAGAGGTAGCTCCGCCTGGAACTCCAGCCACCGCTGAGCGTCGCCGTCGGGGAGCGGTGTGTCCCAGTCGACTCCCAGTAACCACGTCGACTGTATAAGTATCTTGGCTCGCACCGTGGTGGGTGCGAGCCATCCCATCGGGTCAAATAACTTGGCCGTTAGTGACAGGACTGTCCTTTTAGATATCCTGTCCAGCCGCATCGTTGGCGTCGAGAAGGCGAAGTTGTCATTGTGCGGGTGCCATCTGAGGCCCAAGGTAGCGTGGCTCTCACCTGGTTGCCACCACCGGGGCTCCCGCTGTAGAAGGTCCTCCGCTGGCAGACTCTCGAGCAATGACGAATGGTTGGCCGACCACTTCTTCAGCGGGAAACCGCCCGCCCTGCAGATCTGCGTGAGTTGCTGCTGGATCTCCTCAGTCTCAGCAACGGTTGGTGCCCCCGTCAGGACGTCGTCCATGTAGACGTCCCGTCGAAGGACGTCCGCACCGAGGGGCCACCTGGAGGCTTCGTCATCCGCGAGTTGTCGGAGAGTGCGAATCGCCAAATAGGGAGCGCACGCCAACCCGTAAGTCACGGTGTTCAGTTGGAACTCCTTGATGTCCATATCTTTACCTTCACGCCACACAATCCTTTGCAGGTCGCGATCCTGAGGGTGGACGTCGATCTGCCTATACATTTTTTCGATGTCCGAGGCAATGGCATATCGATGACGACGCCACCGCAGCAGAATATCAGCAAGCGCTGGTAGTAGGTTCGGTCCGACTTGCAGGTGCTGATTGAGGGTCTCTCCCGACGGCAATCTTGACGAGCCATTAAACACGACCCGCAGCTTGGTCGTGGAGCTAGCTTCCCGCATCACGCCGTGATGAGGAAGATAGCAGAGCCGCTTGTTGACCCGGTCAGCGTCCGATGAGGCCGGCGTTATGCAATAAAAAATGGGAGGTTCCATTTAAGAAAACATCGATCACATTGACTTGGCCTTGAAAACATCATTCAAGGTCAAGTCCATATTTTCATCATGTGTCCCCCTCTGAACCCTACAACTTCTGTATAAAACATTTTTTTCCATCTTGCTTACTTTACGAGATATTTGCGTGTATTGATTAAAATGACTCATCCTGTATATACATATATAATACTCTTAAATTTTTGATAAAATTTGTACATATAACAGAACATTTCCAACAAGTGACCTACACTATATGAACTTTAAATTTGATTTATATAAAGATAAGTTTAAACACATATTTCGCGCAGGGTGCATAATAATTTAAACATGATGTCTATTATCTTATTACTTTGACTGTTCTGAACGCTATTACGCTTTATTCGCACCTATCAACGACCGTCTTACTAACAATAAGATCTAACAATGATGTTCATAAATGCATGATCGGTATTTTCTCAACGTTTAAATAAATACACAAAAGACTTATTTTAAATTATATAATATATGGACCCATTTTGAATTATTTTTATCTTGATATGTATTATCATAACGATGATCTGACAATGAGTAATACAAATACCCTGAATAATCTTCAAAAGGCTTTAGTTGTAGCTTATTGTTTCTTAAAAAGTTATAAACAAATAAAGTAAAACATGTAAATGAGCGTTGAATGCAAAAACTTGCGTTTCATCGAGTATAAAATCTAAATTCTATGAGTTTTAGATATTTGTATATTTATTGTGAAATGAATGTGCGTGAGCAGGGCAAGAACTTCACCCTTCTCTCTGCATTGCCATCTCATAAATTTTCTAACCCAACCTTTAATTCAATTTCAAATTTTAAACTTCAGGTAACTTTTCATGTAAAATGAGGTATAAAGATAGACTGATGATAAAAGATTTGATATTGTATACAAGTTACATTAATGTATACTAATTGTTAGATATACTTGCATATATGCAAGCGAGCATACACACACAAACACATACACATTGGAGATTTATTTGAATGAAACAAATCAATAAATATTTATCATTAACAAATTTTTTATAATTTTTCACAGAAATCTTTGAATAATGCAAGATGAATATTATTTTTTATCTAAGGTTTCAATCTTATTGTGAAATCGTCCACGCATTTACTTCACAATAAATATAGTAATAATTTAATCAACTCAAAATATATAGAATAATAAACCTCTCTTATTTCGAAATTTTTACTAAAAAAAATTGGTATATGTACACACACACACACACGCACACACGCACACACGCACACACGCACACACGCACATATATATATATATATACATGTACATATGTATATTAATAATATATTAATCCACATTAATAATTATTATATGTGTTATACAGATTACAACATGACTGGTATAAATAATCTAGGCTATGATGACATCGAACCAATGGTAAGTTAAAAATATTAAATAATAATTATACGATGAATACATACCAAGAAGAAATATAAAATAGAAATATAAATGATATACAATAATGATGCCTTTCTATGTTTTAAACTTTAAAAAAGACAGATTATGATAAAAAAAAAACAAAGCTTTAACGTATGTTGTGAAGATCACAATCTTAAGTATTCGCTTGTTTATTAAAAAGTTATTAACAAATAAAGATCACATAAAAAATCAAGAAAAATTTATAATTAGGAATTCAATATTGAATTCAATATTGCAGAGTCTCTTTCCTACCTATATCCAGTTTTTGCTTTTAATTTTGAGATTTTTGAATATATACAATTATATACATGTATAAAAATCTATATGTTTATTAAGTGTGTGTATAATATAAATAATAATTCTTATACAAACTGTGGTTAATATTGAATTATTTCTGCAATTTTTCAAATCTTCATTAATAACTTTTTAATAAACTACTAGTGACAACTAAAACATTGAACTGAGTTATTTCCTTCAAAAATCAATATTAAATAGGAAAATATATCATTATTTTCGGTCTTGAAAAGCTCTATCCCTTGTTTTGCAAACTTAAACTTCATTTTAATCTCATGGAGGATAAGCCAAGAGTTTACCACCGTATCCTCTTGCGTGATATTCTCGAAAGAATAAACAACTATCGCATAACCCAACGCATTTTACCTGTCTCAGCGATGCTTGCGTATGCGAAAATTTGCATCCGCGCACTTTGAAAATTTGCATGAGTATATATAAGGCAAAGCTGTTGGCAGATTCGAGATATTGTAGCGTTTCTCCTCGAATAAATATCCGAGATACGACATAAATTATCACTATCGTATTTTTCTTATTTTTATGCTTTTACAGAAACGCTTAACAAATCTAAAAAATTAACAGCGATTTTGATAATTTTGACACCAATTCTAGCATTCGCTTTAATTCGACGGTTGCGTTTGTTGAAAATTTGCAATAAATCAATTGTTTTTATTTTTTTATAAATTAATTATTTTTATTTATTTATTTATTTTTAATAAATCGTGGTTAAGCATATATATTTTTGCAAGAACGAAACTATCTCTGTTAAACCTATATTTATATGCGTGATACTATTTCCGCAGCCGTTTTCCATGGGTTGATTGGCTTTGGGGTAGCTAATTTCGCTGGTTCTGGTTTTTGCGATTAATGCCTCCGGACCCGTTCGATTGAATGGTTAATTTTAAAAATAAATACAGAACAAAAATTTATACAAAATATATATTTATTTATAGAATATTTTTATAATAAAATATGTATTGATATGATAAAGTTGAAAATGACAATTAAAATATAGCAGATCGCAATTTTTTCTCGTCTCTCTTTCAATTCAAAAGTCCGAAGCTCTTGAATAGGACAAGCTGAAGCGAAAACTCGGTTTCGCTTTTTGTTCCTATTGTAATGCTTATTTTTGGTAACATCGCTCGTACGAGCGAGACAGTTTTGTGCTGGCTTAAAAAACCTGGAAAAACGGACCAAGCGTGATTGCGCTGCAATTATGAGAAGTAGCGTCGCACGCTATGACGAAGATGTCGAAGAGAAAAATAATGATGGAAAAAGAAGGCCGCGGAGCGGAAATCGCAGCGTACTCCGGCATTGTTTCAATTAATGGGCCGTACTCGAAAGCTCGAAGAATTGTGAAAAAAGAGAGAAAAAGAGAGAGAGAGAGAGAGAGAGAGAGAGAGAGAGAGAGAGAGAAACAGACAGACAGACAGAGAGACGCGCTACTATGGTGTAATGCCATTGAATTAATCGATTTATGTAAAAAATATGAAAAAACTATTCTTGTTTTTATTTAATATAAGTTTTCTCCGTTTTTCATATTTTTTGCTTCTAATGATATTTGCATAAATATATACTAGCATTTGCAAAAATATAATTATGTTATATACATATATAATTATTCTAAATGTGTGTGCTCCGTTACAAAAGTATCGTTAGGTTTTCATTACGGTGCAATATATAAGATAAAAACTTTAGAAAAGAAGAGAAGCGGAATCAAAATCACCCTGTCACATTGTTTCTTAATTATTCGAAACCATGCGAGACAGATATCTTCGTGTTTGTAGCAATATTGCGCGTCACTATCAAAAAAATAGATAAGGATGAGCGGAAAACGAAGGACTAAATAATTGGCATCTACTTCACGAAATGTCTGTTTGTCGGCTGAGTGCCATTTAATTTGCATTAACAAGCTGTTTGGCATGTTTACTCTGCATACATCTGTAAATCGAGTTATTCCTGAATGTAGTTGTTAGAAACATATCAGAGTCATGAGTACCGTAAACGCTATCCGACGAAAGTTATTTCCCGATTGGATGGATGATTTTTTCACTAACTTTCCATCTCTCATGATCTTCAAAAATGCAAACCACATATAGCTGCATTATATGTATAATTACATTATTTATTATTACAGATTTATTATTGCATTATTATAATAAATTATTATTGCAAAAATTTTATACATTATGTATTTACCTACACACAGAAAAATACATACTATATACAAGTAAATATTACTTGTTTCAAGTATTTCATAAGTTCATATATCCGCAAATCTATCATAAGTTCATCATAAGCATCAAATTTATTCAAAATATATTCTGAATCCTAATAAATATAATATTTCAATCAAGAATATTAAATTATATAATTGAAAGAAATACATTAAATTTTTCTGATCTAATAAATTTTCTTACATTAAATTAACCATATCTGACTTTTCTTCGATAAAATTTTATAATATTCTTCAAAAGAAAATATTTACTTTTTTTGAGTACATGATAATGAGTATTTCTAAAATTTGTGACAAGTCTATTTTAAGACTATTATTAAGAAAATATTCTTTGTTAAAGATAACTGTTACTTAAAACAGGTAAAGTAAACTGAATAATTATTTTACTTAGCAATAGAATAATATTTTTCTGTGTGCACT